ACCCGACTCCTGACCCCGATTATCCCCCCCCAAGCGACCTTCCCCCCACAAGACTTCCTTCCCCCCACGCGCAACCCGCGCGCGATCCCCCAAGTCCACTTCCCCCCCGCCCCACGTTTCTCCCCTATCATCATCATCATCATCATCATCATCATCATCATCATCATCATCATCATCATAGATAGGACATCATAGATAGGATCGCTTCGCCCTCCCAGTTACCCATCTATCCCTTTATTATTATTTCTTCAAACATCCATTTTTGAAACGTTTCATCTCGACATTTTTTTATTTTTTTCTCTCCCAAATATATATAATCTGTTTGTGACAATATATATATATATATTTATTTTTTTTCTTTTTCAAAAATTTCGAAAATACATAGGATTAAGCATTCTCTCTCGACATTTCATCTTCGAAATTCGAAAATCAGTTTAATTAATTCTTTTTTTGAAAATTTTCAAAAATTTCAGAATTAATTAAATTATTTTTCGACAATTCTTTTTCATAATTCGAAAACATTCCTAATTCTTTTTCGGAATTTTTGTAATTTGGAAAACATTTTAGAATTAATCAAACTCTTTCCTTTTTGTAACTCGAAATACGTAAGAATTTTTTTTTTTTCCCCTTTCCGACATTTTTTTGAAATTCGAAACTACTTTCAATTCATTCGTTTTTCTCTTCGAAAATTCTGAAAATATTTTTAAATTAATTTTTTTTTTCAACATTTCTTTTTCAACATTTCTACTTAATTTTATTTTATTTATTTATTTATTTTTTTGGAAATTTTAAAAATACGTTAGAATTAATTAAATTCTTTTTCGATATTTTTTTGAGAAATTCAAAAATAATTCTAATTAATTATTTTTTCCAGTATTTTAATTCATAATTTCTTTTTGCAATTTTTGTTGAAAATCGAAACTCTTTTTACAATTCGGAAATACTTTTCTTTTAAAAATACTATTCTAAACCCCTCAATTAATTTTGACTAAATTCAATTAATTCACGACTGAATTAATCTCTTTATTCGAAATTAATTATCCTTTTTCTGAAATGTCGACATTTTCCTTTGAAAAATTATTGCCAAATATTTTAAAAATTTCCTCTTCCTAATTCTTTTCAGAATTATTATTATTTTTTTTTCCCCGTAATTCAAAAATATTTTCTTTCAAAATTTCACAGTTTCTTGTAAATAAATTTAAATCTAAATCAAAATTTATTTTTTCAAAATTAATTATCTCTTTCTGTTCAGCATTTATTTTATTTTATTTTATTTTTATTTATTTATTGATTTATTTTATTTATATTTTTTATGAAAAAAACTTGGCGATTATCTTTATTTTTGAATTTATTGATAAATAAATAAGGGATTCCCCCCTTACCCTCCACATGCCACCACGCCGAACAAAGAACTCCCAACGTGTCGCCGCCGACGCCGCCGCTGCTGCCGCCGCCACCGTTGCTGCGGCATCCTCCACACCCGTTCAGACCACGTCCTCCTTCCCCTCTTCCCCTGACATGGCCGCATCCTCCATCAACATGTCTGACATCCGCACCGACTCAGTTGATAGCATCGCCCGCAACCTCGCAGGCGAACAACCACCAGTAAACACCGCCACCCTCGACCTCTCCGCCATCCTCCACGCACTCAACACCCTCCGAACCTCCGTCACCGCCTCTCTCAACGACATAAAGGCCAACATATCATCCATATGCGACCGCGTCACCACGATCAAAGGGACCATCCCCTTCATCACGGTCGTCACCACCTTGCAAACCACTCCCTCCTCCACAGCGCAAACCACTCCAACCTCCACAGTGCAAACCACTCCCTCCTCCACAGCCGCCTCCAGCAACACCCCCTCGCCGACCTCCTCCACTCCTACCACCTCTACTACCACATCCATCAACCCTTCAACCTCCACCATTGTCCCGTTCCCTCCACCTCCTCCCTTATCC